TCGTGGCTTTTGGCAGGACATTTTCTCTGGAGGACTGTGTCTTAGGAGACTGCCTGCTCCAGCCCACGGGGACTGCCCGTGACCACCAAGGCTCAGGGCAAAGACTTCTCCTTCCCCAGACCCTTTCCTGTTAGAGCCATTATAGCCTTCGCCTGTTTTGTTTGTTTGTTTGTTTGTTTGTTTGTTTGTTTGTTTTTAACATCATAGGATATATTCACTCAGGACAGAGTGGTTTCTTTCAGTCCTTATCTCTTGCTTGTATTTTTACTTTTATATGTTAGTTGTCAAAATAATGAATTAGTTCATTAGCATCATCAACTGATAGCCAATTAGGTTCTTTTCTTGAAAAGGATCATTACAGACTCATGCATTTAAATATATTTGACCTGTTTCAATCTGCTGTCATTACTGTCCTTATCGATACTTGATACTCGCACTGTCACATCTGTGGCCAGTGGGAGCCTCTTCGGCCTGGCTCCTGAGTCCTCTGGATCTGACCTCATTGTCTGATTGCGTCTGCACTACCTGCTGTGACAAGCTGCTCCAGGTTGTATCCTTTTCAGAGGCCTCTCTGCCAGCTATGACTGGGGAGGTCTAAGTGAGTTTCAAGTGAGTTCCTTACAACATCCCTTTCCGCATGGCAGGGAGAAGGGTTAGGAAGGTGGGAACAAATCTCTTCCATGTCGCAGGCTTATTCAGCTTTGAGCTGAATTCCTTTGGGTTGGGGAAGGGACAGGGCTGTAGTGGGAGGGGCCAACCCGGGTGGAGAGGGGGAGTCTCCTTAAGAAAGGTGAAGGGTTGGGCTTGAGGGTCTCCAAGGGTGGCAGGGGACAAGCCTGCGCCCCTATGGAGCCTGGGAGCTGTCAGACCTCTGCTGGGGTGGCCCTTGGATGAAGGAGGCCACTTGCAGTGGGCTGTAGACTTGGGCACCCCGAGGGCAGCCGGGCAGAGACGGAGCCGCCCATGGACAAGCCAGCCTGGCCAACAGGTAACTTAGAAGCCATCCCCTGGTGGAAGGCTGGAGACCCTTCCTGGTTTTCTGTAATAAGTTTTGCCCTCTAATCTTGCACAGCCCTTGGAAGGAAGAGGCTGGATTTGACACCACCCTGGAAAGTGTGACTCAGAGCAGATTTAATTTAGTTTAAGGCAAGTCATGAGGCAGTTTTTGCAACTGAGGACTGTTGTCTGTGGCCAGGTCCCCAATTTTGAGACACATCCTTCGACTTAGGACATTTTGTTCCCTAGTCCGAAGTTTCTGGGGAACAGGAGGCTGTCCTCTCTCCAGATGTGAGGAACAGGAAGGAGACAACCTGGTCTTTAAAACCCTTCATATGGCTGGGTGCAGTGGCTCACCGAGCAATCTGGGAGGCCAAGGTGGGAGGATTGCTTGAGGCCAGGAGTTCGAGACCAGCCTGGGCAATAGTGAGACCCCATCTCTACAAAAAAACTAAAAAACAAACAAAATAAAACCACCAAAACTCTTCATAAATGCCAGCAATTATGATTTCCCTCTGTGCCCATTGTCCCAAGAACTCCAGTCACACCCTTGCTTCCCCTTCCAGCCCTGCTCACCACCCCTGCTCTGTCACACACCTTATTGCACGCCACCCACTTGGAACCACTTGCAGAGTGAGGAGTATGCCATGTGCTCTCCCCTCTGGGCACAGCACCTCTCACACCTCTGGGTGTGTCCGTTAGGATTAGGGTTAGCTGCATATTACAACAACAACAAAACACATAAATAACTTAAATATGACATTTATTTCTTTGGCATATGAAAGAAGCCAGAGGTGGAGGCTGCTCTAGGGCTGGTATGACACCACCAAAGTTGTCAGGACCAGGCTCCTTTTAACTTCCTGCTCCAGCATTCCTGGTTGTTGGCTTCCACTGCAATTTGCTTTATGGAACAAAGTGGCTGCTGACACTTCAGACATTAGGGCCACGTTCTAGGCAGGAAGATGGAGGAAATAGGCTGTCCCTCCTACTTGAGTGAGAACTCCTTCCAAGAAACCCTATAAACCTGTGTTTATACTCCGCTGTTCATTACTAGCTATAAGGGAGTCTGGAAATATAGTCGTTAGCTAGAAACGTTGTCCACCAGGATAAATGATGTTCTGATTGTAAGGAAGAAGAGATGAATGGCTGTTGGGCAGGAGTTAGTAATCTCCACAATCGATGTCCTTTCTCTTTGTTCAACTCGCTCTATTGGCCCTTTTGTTCTCGGCCTAGACTTGCTTCTTTTAAGAGATAGGCCTCTTCTAGGTGCTGCCTCATTAGCACACTGTATTGCACCTGCTGGGGCACCTGTCTGGCTCCCCCTTCATCAGTGAACTCCTGGAAGGCAGGGACTGTAGGGCTCAGTAAGGCTTATGGAGTGAATGCTTGAAGGAGGCTGGGGCAGCCTCCATCTCGGGGCAATCCACACTAATCTCCCCGTTCAGGATGCTTCTGTAACTTCCAACTGATCTTGCTGTTTTCTCACTTCAATGTCATTACCACAAATGTATACCCAAACCTCTCTTTTGAAAGAAAAACCATCTCTTCCCAAACCACTGGGGATGGCACATGATTGGTGCCTTTGGAGAACGCCTGGCATATACAGAGCAGCACTGGAGTCTATCTGGACATGGATTATAGGGTAATAAAATAAAAAATAATTTATAAGTGGCAAGGAATTTGAACTGAGGCATAATTCTATTTTGTGCAGAAAGCCAAGCTGTTCTGCATAATTTGTCATCCAGCTAGGGCTCTCTGACATGCGTAAGCTAAAGGCTCCTAACCTCTTCCCATCTCTGACTGGCTCCTTATCATTTAATTCTAGGTAGCATGGCTCCCAATATCCCCAGTAAAGACATCTGCTATCTCTTGGCTGAGCCAGCTGGTCTGTGCTTTTTGTAAGTGGCTGACCTGGCATGAAAAATCCTGGCCGTATTATCCCAAGAACTTGCTCCCAGTAAATTCTATCAGTGGGTTTCAGTTATCTATCACTGTACATCAACCCATTCCAAAATGTAGTGACTTAAAATAACAATTTATTATTTCTCATGATTGTGTGGTTTGGCTGGGCTTAGTGGGGCAGTTCTTCTGTTCCTCGTGTATCGCTTAGGTCACTCATCTGGTTGCCTTCGGCTGGGAGCCTGCCTGTGTCTGGAAAATCCAAAGTGGCCTCCCCTCCTCCAGGGCCTGTCTCCACACAGCCTTGAACCATTCAGTAGCCTAACCTGAGCTTCCCCCAGCATGGCCACTGGCTTACAAGGGGAACTTTCTAAGAGGGACAGCCCCAATTTGCAAGTACTTATCAGCCTTTATGCTTGCTAACATCCCATCAACCAAAGCAAGTCACAGGGACAATACAAGGGTCAATGGGAGAGGGAATACACAGGTCACGAATACTGGGAGGTGTAGTTCCTTGGTCGGCAATGTAACAGTCCACACATGTGGCCTCTGAGGACAGTGGAGCATGGAAGAGCAGCCTGGCTGGGGTGAGCTGGCTGGGGTGAGCTGCATTCCTCTTAGTGTAAGTTGCATGGCTTATTCTTTGAGCCCCAGAGGCAGAGCCAGTGGGTGAGGGTTACAGGGAGGCAGATTAGAGTGTAACAGGAGCTGCCCAACAGCGAGACACCTACTTCGTGAGGTGTGAGCCACCCATCATGGGAAGTGTTCAAAGAGAGCCTGGGCCATTTCTTGGAGGGGATGTGTAAGGAATTCTCGCCTGAGCTGGAAGCCAGAATAAATAACGAATAAGCTTCCTTTCTACTCTGAGTCTATTTAAAGCTCTCCTTGGTGGGCCAAGAACATTTGTCTCACAGATAGCAAATTCATGTCAGGGTTCTTGTAATGTGGGGCAGAGAACGTAGTCTTCCAGGTGGAAAATATCTCAGTGGCTGATTGTTTACGGACTCAGGCTCTAGGGACTGGGAACATTCTTGGTGCTTTCATTGATCGACAGCTGCATTGAGGGGTGTGAGGGCGGAACTTCCTGCTCTGGTGACCCCTGAGGGGGACAAACAGGTAAGGCCTGACAGGCCCTGGACGGGAGTGTCCAAACCACCTTCCAAGAAGCACTTGGCCTCCACACAGCCCCTCAGAGGCTGCGGGGGAGGGGCAGGGGGCAGGGAGGGCTCTGCTGCGGGAGGCCCCGACCGCAATCAGAGCAGTCCACTTTTATCTTCTTGCAGACTGAGTTTTTTGGTACCATTTTTGTTTTAAGAAAGGGTTTTAGAAATGAAAAGCTTAAAAAACCACCCAGAGAGATTCCATCCATGAAAAACGTTAAGTTAGCCCAAGTGCCTGGCCGCATGCGGGGGGAGGGGAGGGAAGTGGCCCCAAGGCCTTCAGCACCTAGGGAGGGCAGTTGAGGTGAGGGGCGGGGGCAGGGTCCAGAGTCGGCTCCGGCACCAAGGCACACGCCTGCACCCTCCGGTCTGAGGGTGCAGTCTCAGGGTGCTCGGCACTTCTTACCCAGGGGTGGCCTTGCAGGTCTTACTGTTATTTTTTGGTTTTGAGACAGGTTCTTGTGCTGTCACCCAGGCCAGAGTGCAGTGGCATCATCATAGCTCACTGTAGCCTCAAACTCTGAGCTCAAGTGATCCTCCCGTCTCCGCCTCCCAAAGTACTGGGATTACAGGCATGAGCCACCATGCCTGGCACCCCAGGTCTACATAAAGGTGGTAAGAAGTCTGCAGGTGACAGAGCCGGGGCCAGGGACCCTAGGATGACCACTCCCCAGGATCACTGAAGGACAGCGAGGGTGCCAGTCCCGCACCAGATCTGACGGGAAAACCTTCTGCTTGCCCTGTAGCTCCCGGCAGACCCTCTCTGGGCGGGCCGGGAGCCCAGGTCCATTTGCTCCGGAGTGCTGGCTTTCCCCCAGGGTGTGTCACCTTGGCTGTGCGACCCAGGGAGCCCTCTCCTCACCTCGGATTCAGGCAAGCATTCTTGGGGCAGCAGGTCCAAACGCAGCCCCTTTCCACCTCAAGACAAAAATAGAGTGAGGCTGACAAGGTGGTCAGGATGGAATATTCTGGACATTTTGGACAAGGCCAGAGCCTGCAGGAGTGAGGAGCAGGCCGCCGTGCTGTAGGTGGCGTCTGTCCTCAGCACCTCCCACCTCCTGTTCCAGGTCAATCCCCCATATTAGCTTTCTGTTGTCATACAACAGGCCACCACAAGTTTAGCAGCTCAAAATGACACCGAGGATTCCACTGCGGCTTCGTGCGGCAGGAGTCTGAGCAGTCTGGCTGCGTCCCTGCGCAGCGCTCCCAGGCTGCGTCCTCCTCGGAGGCTGACCCGGCACAGCCCCTCCGCGCTCACGCAGGTCGGGGGCAGACTTGCTTCCTTGCAGCCGAACCACCCGGGCGTCCCGCGTTTGCTGGCGTTGACTAGAGGCCGGCCTCAGGTCCCAGCTGCCAGCGCCCTGCCTCCTCAGCATGGCGCCCACTTCATCAGGCCTGCAAGGACAAGCAGAGTGTCTCACCCCAGGGGGACCATTGCCTCTCTTTAAGGGCTGTCACCTGATTAAGTCAGGCCCAACCAGGACAACATCCCTCCAAATGGTCTCAGTGTCAACTGAAAACCCCTTCACCGGTGCGCAGTCTGTTGGCTAGAAGCGAGTCAGGTCCCACCCAGGCTCCAGGGGAGGGGGCTCCACAGGGTGTGACCTGCGGGGGCGGGACTCACGCGGCCACCCTGTGACAGGTGTTTCCCACCCTCTTCTTTTGGAGACCTGAGCTCCAGCACCCTGGTCTCTTCCCTCTTTGCAGGGACTCAGCCTCCCCACCGCGCCCACGCCCTCCCACCGCGCCCGCGCCCTCCACACGGCTCCTGCGCCCCCCACACCACCCCCCCACACCGCGCCCACCCCGCCCGCCTACCCTCCGCGCCACACCGCACTGCGTCCACATAGCGCCGCGCACTCACGACGCCTCCACCAGCGGGCGCTGCGCCGCCACAGTGCACCCCCCACCAGCGCACGCCCCACCGTGCACGCCACCGCAAACGCCGCAGTGCACGCCACCGCGCCGCACGCCACCAGCGCAAGCCACTGTGCACGCCACCAGCACCCCACGCGCACCCACACCCCTCACGCGCACGCCTCACCCGCGCACCACAGTGCACGGCCACCACGCACCCTAGCCGCGCCGCCCCAGTGCACGCCCCACCTTGCACCCAGTGCCACGCACCCGCACCACAGTGCACGCCCCGCGCACCGCCCCCTCCAGACCTGCTTGCCCCAGGCGGCCTGAGGCTGGAGTTTCCAGCTTACCCCAACACACATTTTCTCCAGCTGTTGGACAAGGTAGAAAGGACTGGATAGAAGAAGTAAGTCCCCAAAGACACTCCACATGAGCTCTGTCGGGGCCTCTGCCTAACCCCCAAAAGGAGCCGGGCAGACGGTTTAGGGATGCGCGGCCAGTGAGGCAGAGGAAAGCGCAGTCACGTGTGGCTGGATGACGGGGCGGTGTGAGACGGGCGCCGTTAGGTGACTTTGTGTTTGTGCAGACGTCACAGAGTGCACTTGCCTCACAGACCTGAGTGGCGGAGCCTGCGGCACACCTCGGCTGCCGCCCTGTGCAGCAGGCACTGAGCACTGTGGCATCACAGCGCCATGGGGAGTGCTTGTGTGTCGGAGCACAGCTACACGCGGAAACGGCACAGTTAAAGTACAGTATCGTGACCTCTCGAGACCGCCGTTGTATATGCTGTCTGTCATTGACTGCAAGGTCACCTGGCACATGACTCTATTTGGATGCTGGGGAGGTGGCTCTTAATCACTGCGTTTAGATGAGCATCTGCTTTGCTACCCGATGGAGCCATCTTTTATAGGATTTGGGGGTTATGCCTCCCTCCTCCTGCCACCCCAGGGGGTGACTGATCAACACCTACACTTTGTGCGTTTGTGTCTTGCAGGGGCCTGGTACCAAAGGAATTGTCCTAGTCTCCTCTACCATAATGACAACGGTGATGGCTGCATTTATTGAGCACTTGCCCCATGCCAGGGGCACTGTGCTCAGCACTCCACGCAGTCCTGCACTCCGTCTTGGCCAAAAGGTCGAGAAGCTCTCTGTGTCGTTCTCGCATCAGCTTTACGAGGTAGGTGCTCTTATTATCGTCTCCGTTTCAGAGATGTGGACAGTGATTCTCTGGGAGTCTAAGCCTCTTGCCCAAGGCCACCAAGTTGGTGAGCGGCAGAAGTAGGATGGCCCCTCCTGGACCGTCGGACTCCAAGCCTGTGTGACGCTGTCTCTCGTGGACCCAAGCACCTCCCGTCCTCGTATGGGATATGCACATGCCGTGCACGCTCCCTGAGCACAGCCATGGCCGGGCTCTCTCAGCCACCCCGCCGGCCCGGGCAAGGTGCGGGCAGGGGCAGGCAGGAGGCGGAAGGGCGGCCCCTGGGCACGCGGAGCCCTCTGCAGCAGGCAGCCTCAGAGCCAGTGCCGTGCCGTACGTGCCGAGTGGCTAAGAGAGAAACAAATCAGCCTACGCCCAGGAACCAAATGCCACGAGAGACCAGTCTGTGGCGCTTGCCAGAACAACAGAGCTTCGTGTCCCTGTGTGTCATCACAGGAAACATGCGACCACGCAGCTCACTGGCACAAAAGCAGCCCGGGCCCAGCGTGCTGACTTGTGAGGTAAGGAGAGAGGGTCAGGGTCGCAGGGCTGGGCCTCCCCCTTTCAGAGCCAGAGGGGTGCCGTTGCTGGGCCTGGAAACAGATCCCCAGGAAGACACCGAGTCTCTCCTGCAGCCCGGGGCTGGCCTTAGGGGGCCAGGACTGACAGCACCTGCCTTCTCGGTGGGCCTGGCTTTGTTGCTTCTCCTTGTTTTGGTTTTCAGGACTTTCTTAGTCAAGTGCCAGGACTGAGTAGAATGGCACAAGATCCACCCCTGTGGCCTGGTAAAGATGACCTTCAAGGTAAAAGGCAAGGTCCCTCTGTCCCTGTCTCTCCCTCCCTCCCGCCCCAGGCCCGCGTCTCCCCTTTCCTGTCTCTCTTCTTCCCTGTTCCTCTTTTGAATGTTCCTGGCTTCTCCATCCTCTGGGGCGTCATCACTTCTGGGACTCCTCCTGCTTCCGAAAAGACATCAGTGAATTGGGGTGTCTGGGACAGCGGAACAGTAAAGCCGAACGTGGAGAGACAGGAATGGATTGGCGCCTGGTGAGTGGGCGAATTTGATTCACACTGATCGGACGCCGGGCCGCGCCAGCCCGTGTCCAGGCCTGGGTGTGGGGCTGTGTCGCGCAGATGGGTGCAGGCTCCAGAAGCCCAGCCTGACGTTGGGACGCTCAGGGTGGGGAGGAACAGTCAGCGTCCCTGCGCTGGCCCAGGGCCCTGGCTCCAGCTGCACTTAGGTCTCTGGAGAGGGGCAGGGGTGGGGTGGGTGGGGGGAGACTGATTTTCAGTTTCCAGGGCGCCATCATCATCTGTCCTTCCCAGAAAGCCTCTCCCCCTACCATCTTTGGCCCCCTCTGTCATGCCCACTGCTGCCTGCATTCCCCTTCTGTTTCTGCCAGAAATAGCCCAACTCAAAGGCAGTTTACAGGCTAGTTAGGGGCTGACGCCTCTCGGAAAGCCCTGCCTCTCCCCTGCTCCTGCACCCACGTGGAAGGAAAGAACCTTCATGAAACGGAAGGAGGGAGGATTACTTCCCAAGACCTGTAGGAAGAGGAGTTTTCATGAGCAGGAAGATTGAGCTCTGGAGGACCGTCACCCATCTTGGAGACCCCTTTTGCTGGGGCTGTCAGGATCTTGACCTCTAGCCTGAGATTAGTGGTCTGTTCTGGTCCCCACATCCTCAGCCTTGGGGGCTGGGGACAGGGACTGCAGGGACCCAGACATCTGTGGTCAGGGCCTGGCCAGATGGACCACAGGAGAGAATGGGCAGGGTGTTTTGAGGTAACCCCATTTTTTCTGCCAGTCAATTTGATTTATTGTTCAGGTCTTCAGCTGTAATTACAGAGAAACTCAAACCCAATCCCCGCCAGGTTTAATCAGGAGGGCTGATTTGTAGATTGATTACAATTTAATAGATTTATTAGGAGCTGAGTGTGCCCAGCGAGTAACAGGCTGAATGAGGCTATTGCATCGAGAGATAGAAAAGAAGAATGAAGCCCAGAGCTGGGGAGAAAGGGAGGAGGGTTAGGAGGTGAGGAGAGAGGGAAGGGCAGGGGAGAGAATTCAAGGACAAGGAGAGAGGGGCCTGTGACAAGCAGAGTGGAAGGAGCAAGTGGGATTGAGTGACATAGGAAGAAAGCTTTGGGACCAATCTTTCCAGCAATTCTTAGGAGCTAAGCAGGGCTCATTATTTAACTTTTCTGAGCCTTGGTGTCTGCATGTATAAAACGGGCATAATTAGCACCTACTTGCAGGGTGGTTGTGAAGATAAAACGAGATTGAGTTTGTGGAAGAATCAAGCGTGGTACCTAATACCTAGGCGTGGAGTGGGGTACAGTGGTCAGTAGAGAAAAGGGAGAGGGAGGAAATAGAAGAGTAGAAGGATGGAGAACAAAGGGAGAGATTGCGAGGAGAATACTGGCGGAGATGGATTCATGTGCTACGTGTAACTGCTGTGGACAAGAATGCCACGTGCCTTCAACATCCATTCTCTGTATCTTCCACAGGAATGGACTTCTAATTTTTGACCAGAATAAAGTTTCCCAGCCTTCTTTGTGGTTACATGAGGCCATGTGACAAATTCTGGCCAATGGACGTAAGTGGAAGGGATCTGTGCAGGTCTAGGTGACACTTTGAAAGGAAAGGATGTGCTGTTCCAGGCTTCCCGCGGCCGGCGCACCCTCGTGGGCGGCGGAGGGAACTCAGGGCCCGTGGGCATCGCAGAGGCACAGCCAGCCCTGCTGACTTCGGGGAAGTGCGCTGCTTTACTGACCTAGAATTCTATGAATGAAAAAAATAAACCAATGTCTTGTTTAAGCCATTCTGATGTTGTGCATTTTTCCTATGCAGCCCAATCTATACTCTAACTCAGAGCTGTCCAATCAAGCTTCCTGAGATGATGAAAGTGTTCTGAGAATGTTTTCTATTTACACCATGCAATCTGGCAGCCACTGGCCATGTGTGGCCATTGAGCACTTGAAATGTGGCCAGTGCAACTGAATTTTAATTAATTTAGCTTATAAAGTTAACTAACCTCATGTCCTTGGTCCTTAACGGCTGTGTAGAGAGGCAAGGGTTAGGGTTGTCTGACAGTGACCTCGGTGCTTACTCTGGGTCCTAGGTTCCCTCTTCTCTGCTTCAGAGGGGCAGTGTCCAAGCTCACCTTCTTGCAGGACCGATAGCTTCTGTCACCCTTCACCCCTTCCCTCTGACTTCCTGTGGGCACTATGCTCTTCAAATACTTCTGTAAACAGCTGGCGCCCAAATCTAGACTGCCTGGCCTGATTATTCTGCTGACACAGTCACTTACCCTATTAAAAAAAAGAGACCCACAGAGGGGGGAGCCCCTTCCACTAGAACACAGACCCACACTGGGAGGATGGGAACTCCTGCCTTCACTTCCCTTGTTGACTTTGGCTTTAGAAGGTCTCTCATCTTGTTCTTCTGCAAACATTACTCTGGTTTCAGGGGATGACTGGAGAAGGCAAATGTCACTTTAGGAAGCAATTGGGCTGCTCCATCCATGGAAGAAGCAGGGAAATAAACCACCTGATTATAATTATAATCCTATTCTAATTTATGCTCTAATTTCACACTCTTGGTCCTTTGGAGAGGGAAGGGTGGGCATAGACATGAAACAAGAGTTATCCTCTTATTTGGCTCAGAGAGATGACTTGCTCTGGCCACAGCCGCGCAGCTGGGTAGAAGTGGCGACGTGCGTGGAACCCAAGCTGGGGCTCTGCCTTTATGATCACACTTCACACGAACAGATGCACGTGGGAAAGTTGACCAGGAGATGGGTCACCGGAAGTCATCATGTAGAGGGAAGTCCAAACATGGGCTCAGGTAGTTCAAAATCAATGACTTAGAAAATTAATTACCAAGAAGCCCACTGTTTTTCTAGCAGACTGTGGCCACTGCCGTCATGTCTGTCCAGCATGCATCTCCAGACCCCTTTTCTGGTTACTGTACCATCTATTTCTTTGGAAGCACTGCTATCCATTCCTTTAGGTTTGGTGGGGGCTGTCAACCACAGAATGCCACCCATTACTGCCCAGGTCAAAGTTAGTACCAACACAGTACCCTAGCAACAGTGACTGGTCCAAGAGGTGGGCCCACCACCAAGATAGAGCAATGAGAACCACTTCCCCGTGTGAAACAAAGCAGTCTCCTTCCGCTGGCCTGCTTGGAAGGATGGGATTGTGCCGTCTTCCTTACCACACGGAGAGAGCCAGTCTGCAGATTGAAGCGCACGGAGGGAAGCAAAGCTGAGAGACGGGAGGGTAGGGGGGATGGGGGTAGAGAGGGAGGGAGGGAGGGAGGGAGAGAGACTGACTTATAGACATAATTTGAGTCCTTTCTGGACTTCTCAGCTATGTAAGCACGTTGCATCAGTTAGGGTTCAACCAGAGAAGCAGTAGAACCCTGTAGATGACAGATAGGTAGGTAGACAGCTAGATACATGGATTGCTACACGGTCGCAGGGCTGGCTGAGCACGTCTGAAGCCCACAGGGCAGGCAGTCAGCCAAGGGCACGAGTGGGCTGGAACTCCACGGCAAGAGCTGAAGCTTGATGATCCCCACAGGTTGCCGTCAAAACGAAAGATATAGGGGGTCACTTTGGGAGGCTGAGGCAGGAGGATTGCTTGAAGCCAGGAGTTCAAGGCTGCAGTGAGCACTCCAGCCTGGGCAACAAAGCGAGACCCTATCTCTACAAAAAATAATTTTAAGAATTAGCTGGGTGTGGTAGTGTGTGTCTATAGTCCCAGCTACTCAGGAGGCTGAGGTGGAAGGACTGTTTGAGCCCGGGAGTTTGAGGTTGCAGTGAACTATGCTTGTACCACTGCACTCCAGCCCAGGCAACAGAGCGAGGTCCTGTCTCTTAGGGAAAAAAAAAAGGAAAAGAAAGAACAATATACAGTGGAAAGAGAACAATTGTTGACCCAGTATATCTCCCTCAGAGAAGGCCTATGTCCACTTTTAAAGAACTTAAGTCAGCCCCCACCCCCAGACGATCTCCCGTTGATTAACTTAAAGTCAACTGATTGGGGACTTTAAATCATATCTGCGGATTCCTGCACCACAGCACCTACGGTGGTATTTGATTGAATACCTGGGGGAGAGGAGGTGCACAGTACAACATGGCTGCTCCTCCTTTCTGTCCTTCAGTTCCAGAGAGAATGTCCCCTCTAGCCCGCCCTGAATGAAACAAACTGGGAAGGGAATTCCGTGGGCAAGAGTTCGGCTTACCACATCAGCACATCAAAAAGCCATCACATCCATAACACTTTTTTCTCTGTAAGCTAAATTTGAGTTGGGTTTCCACTAGTTGGGATAAAAAGGCTCCAAACTCAGTTGCCATTTACTTATCGAGCGTCTCACACGTTATGTCACGTAATCCTTACACATACACAAATAAGGTAGGTGTTATTTACAGTTTTGGAGACTGAGGTTCAGAGAGGTTAAGAAATTTTTTCAAAGACACAGAGCTTCAAAGAAAGTCTGTCTTTCCACTGCCAATGTGACAATACTAATCTTTGCCAAAAAGGAGCCATCCCAGTTGGAATACAGATTCCTTGTTCAGTGCGGAAGCTGACTTCAGCAAATATATTTTTTTCAGCTAAAAAGAGGTGCAAAACTGATATACTTTATTCAGCTGATGGCAGAACAAGGCCAAGAAGTTGATTTTATGTCCATGACCTAGTGCCTGGCCTAGATGTATTGTTAGCTGATGTGCTCAACTGCTTGATCTGTTTCTCCTGTTGTGTTTGTGTCTGTTTTTTTGAGATTATTATTTAGAGTTTTATATGCTCTTTGGAGGCCTCTTCCTACCTGAAATAGCTTAGATCTTAAGCTCTCCTCCAAACATCAGCTACAGTCAGAATGTCAAACAGCTGCTGTATAAACCCCTTGTAAGTGTGATCAAGAACAAAGGAAAGTAAAATGAACAATATCAGCAATGAAAGAGGACACATCATTACAGATTTGACAGACATTAAAAAGGCATTAAGTAGAAAGTAGGAAAAATTTTATGCCAACAAATTTAACAACTTCTATGAAATGGACAATTTCCTTGAAAATAGACACACAGTGGGTAAGACTTTTGGGCTGGGACCCCAGAAAGCTGAGCCTCCCTCCTCACTGCCAGATCTAATGGGCACTTTTGGGTTTCCCTTGCCCCTCAGTGGCATTTGACACTGCTGACTGTGTCCTCCCAAAAACCCCCTCTTTTGGCTTCCATGAAGCACTCTTAGTGCTGGTCCATTTAAGCCTCCCTGGCCCTTCTCCTTTCTTTCTGCTTAATGACGGAAATTCCATGACTTTCCTTACTTCACATCTGCATACAGGGCTCTAACTACCGTTTGCATGCTGCTGGCTCCCAGATCTGCAGTCCCAACTGCTTTCCTGAGCTTCAGTTTGACGAAATATCCAACTTTTATCAAGACAATTATCTATGCCACCCTTTAGATGTCTTCGACCCCTCAAACTCAACATTTCTTTGCTACTATCACCTAGTTTTCATTTGGGACTTTCCCTCCCCCATTCTCAGTCCTTGCAGGTCAGGGAGAGTCTTCCTCCCACCCAGATCCACACTGGCACGTGGCCCAGTGCACCCCTCTAAGCCATCCTCCCCACCCAGCCTGCTGCCGTGGTCTTCCCAGCAAACATAGCTCATCATGGTGGTTTTAAAGCCAGGGCTCAAATTCTTTGGGCTCCTCCATGGAGAGGCGGGGTGTCCACCATTTAAGTCTGGGAAGGATCTGACTGCTTCGACCAACAGAGCCTTGCAGAAGTGACACTGTGACTTCCGAGGTTAAAGTAGACAAGTCCACGCAGCGCCTGCTGGGCCTGCAGTGCTCGTCCCCCGGAGGCCTCCCGTCAGGAAGTTCCTTCCCGGAACCCAGCTGCGGTATTGAGAGCAGCCCCAGTCCCGCGGAGAGGCTACGTGTAGGTGCTCTGGTGACTTGTTTCCAGTTGAGCCAACTTTCAGGTCACCCTAGACCAGGCACCAGACCTGAGAATCGTTTTAGAAGTGACTCCTCTAGCCCCAGTTGTTCAGCCACCAGTTGTTTGAGTTTTCCCAGCTGAGGCTCCAGACACAACTGAGCAAAGAAGAGCTGTCTCAGCTGTGCTCTGGCCAATCCCGACCACAGGACTTGTGATCATAATAAAATGGTTGCGTTAGGCTGCTAAATTTGGGGGTAATTTGTTATATGGTAATATTAACTGGAACACCATCAGGATGAAGTCAGAATTCCTTTGTGCTTCCGTACTATTATTAGAATCCTGCCCACCTCACCAGCTCCATCTCCTGCCCTGCCCACACCAGTCCTAGTGCCAGCATACTGCACTTCTGGAATGTTCCTTACCTTCCGGGCTTTCATGCCTTTGTACATGCTGTTGCTCTGCCTGGATGTCTTCCTAACATCCAGATATGCATACAGCAAATCATCAGGAAAATTGGGAATGCAAATCCACTTCTTTCCCCCAAATCCTTTTTCTCCAGGAATAATAATGATTGAGTGGCCCTAGGACAGTCGGGTGCTCTGCAAAACAATATTCAAAGAAGGAGGGTTATTTTCTAGGTCTCTGAATAAGAAAACGGTTGTCCATAATGGATTCTGGAGCCAGATTGCCCACATTCGAATTCCAGGTCTGTCACTTCCCAGTGGGTGCCTTGTGCAGGTTACTTGACCTCTCTGTGCTCCATACTTAATAATACTTACTTCATAGAGTTGTGGTAAGGATTAAATGAGTTAGAATGTGTGAAGCGTTTAGAATGGTGCCCGGCAGAGGGCACTTGGATAGATGAGTGTTGTTTAAAATAAAACAAATCTCTTGCAAAGAGTTAACTCTAGTGCTTGCTCAAGTCTCGTCTTTAGGGAACCTTCCCTGATGCCTTCCCCACACCAGCTGGCTTCACAGACAGGTGCTTGTCGCAGCACCTTTGGGATACGACAGCTATGACACTTGTCACCGGCTCTGTAATTCTGTCATGGTAGTCGTTTGCGTCCCTCGGTTCATTTCTCAGATGCTGGAAGGCAGGGCTGGGTCTAACTCATTTCTCTCTCCCGGAGCCCAGTCGTAGCAGGCCTTCAGTTATTGTGTATTCAGTGGACTCTCGCTTTGATTTTACAGACATAGTGGCTCAAGCCCAGAAAAGACTAAGCTAGTTCTTCTAAGCCATGGAGATAATCAGTGGCTGAACAGACACTAAAACTGTCAGTCCTGTTTTTCTGACCCAAGCCAGTGACTCTGCGTGCACACGTGTGTGTGTTCACTAGTACCACCACGGACCCTGGCTATTTGCTTTTTTGAAACTGTTTTATTCAGAGACCCATAAAATAATCCGTATTCTTTTAGTGTCCGTCTGATTCCCTGGGTGGCTTCAGGGTCAGTCACTCTCATTCCTGAAGAAAGAGCAGGATTTCTGGGTTTGCATCCTTCCAATTACTCTACGATTTGCTGACTGTGCCTCGGGCCCCGCCCTAAGGCGACAGGCGGCCGCTTTCATCCAGGTACTTTCTCCAGGTGCGGAGGCGAAGGCGGCCTCGCTCGGAAGCGCTAATTCACCGAGTTCTCTGGCTTCCGCACTGTCAACGCCAGACGGCGCTGCGTCCCCGCCGGCTCCGCAACCGCCACGTCGAGCGCAAGGGCCCGGCCCCCACCCCGCGGCGCAGTCGGTGCCCCTCCGCAGCGCAGGTGCATTTCTTCCCGCTGTGTGTGTGTGCGCGCGAGTGTGCGTGTGTTTGTGTGTGTGTCTCTGTGCGCGCGTGTGTGTGCGCGTGTGTTTGTGTGTCTGTGCGTGTATCTGTGTGTGTGTCTGTGTGTGTGCGCGTGTCTGTGTGTGCGTGTGTCTGTGTGTGCGTGTGTCTGTGTGTGTGCGTGTGTCTGTGTGTGCGCGTGTCTGTGTGTGCGTGTGTGTTTGTGTCTGTGCGTGTATCTGTGTGTGTGTCTGTGTGTGTGCGCGTGTCTGTGTGTGCGTGTGTCTGTGTGTGTGTGTCTGTGTGTGTGCGTGTCTGTGTGTGTGTGTCTGTGTGTGTGCGTGTCTGTGTGTGCGCGTGTCTGTGTGTGCGTGTGTGTTTGTGTCTGTGCGTGTATCTGTGTGTGTGTCTGTGTGTGCGTGTGTCTGTGTGTGTGTGTCTGTGTGTGCGCGTGTCTGTGTGTGTGTGTCTGTGTGTGCGCGTGTCTGTGTGTGTGTGTCTGTGTGTGTGCGTGTCTGTGTGTGCGTGTGTCTGTGTGTGTGCGTGTGTGTGCGTGTGTCTGTGTGTAGGAGTGTGTCGGGGGGCTGGTGTCCCATTTTAGCCGGGCTTGCGGAGACCGGCCCGGCGTCTGAAGGGCTGTTCCCTGCTCCCAGCTCTGTCACCCATCCGATCCCAGGATCGCTCTTTCCCCGCGACTTAAGCACACGTGTGTAAATCACAGTGGCACGGAGGCCTAGGAGTACAGGAGCTGCGCGGCCGGTCCGCGGCCCCTGGCGTTGGGTGTCCGCTCCGCGGGGGGCTCAGCCCCAGCTTTCCCGCGGCGCCAGCCGGCACGCGCCCGCGCAGTTTCTCTGTCGAGGCCGCCAGGCCACCTGTCTGGGGCGGACCAGGTGTGTCCGCACCTCCATTTCCCTTTGCCTTCCTCTCCTGCCCTCGTCCCTTCGCCCTGATTTTCCATTCCTCACGCGTGATGTTTCTGGGGGGGCGGAGAGGAGGGCGGGGAGCCGGCGAGGAGGGGCGTCGGAGCGCTGTCACCGAGTGTCACGCCGCCCGCCCCGCCCCCCGCGGCTGTGGGAGTGCGGGAGCGCGGCAGAGGCCGGCGAGTGGGGACGCGGAGCGCGGGTTCTCCGCCGCCCGAGCCCCGCGCCGCCCGGAGCCGCCCGAGCGCTGGGCGCCGGCCTGGGCCGCCGCAGCCGGCTCGCGGAGTCGCCCCGCCATGGAGCCTTCGCACAAAGACGCCGAGACGGCGGCCGCGGCGGCGGCGGTCGCGGCGGCGGACCCGCGGGGGGCGTCCTCCTCCAGCGGGGTGGTGGTGCAGGTCCGCGAGAAGAAGGGCCCCCTGCGCGCCGCCATCCCCTACATGCCCTTCCCGGTGGCTGTCATCTGCCTCTTCCTCAACACTTTCGTGCCGGGACTGGGTAAGACGCGGCGGCCGCGACCCTGCGACCCGGACCGCCGCCGGGGGCGCGCGCGAGGGGCTGGCGCGGCGGGGGAGCTTTGGGCGGCGCCCCCGCGGCGAGCACCGCGCCCACGCGCGCCCGGCCTGGCTCCCCGCGTCGTGCGGGTGGCAAAAGCGCGTGGAGGGGCGCCCCGGAGAGGAGGTGCCGCGCGGGGTCTGCGACCCGCGGGCGAGGTGGCCGGGCCGCAGAGCCGGAAACTTTGGGAAGAATGTTGGAGCCCGCGGGCGGCGGCCCGGATGGCTCCCCCAGCTCTGGAGTAGCCTCCCCTGCGGGCGCCCCGAATTCCGCCCCTTCTCCGTGGCGCGCGTTCTTTCGTGAGCCCACCCCGAGGGGAGCGGGGCCGGGGCAGGACGCGGCGGCGGGGACTAAGCTCCCGCGCTGTCCGGGGAGTCGCTGAGCTGGGGAAAGGGAGGACAGGCCGGTGTTAGGAGACACCCCCACGTCGGTTCGTGGTGCATGCACCGTGTGGGGACAAGAACTCTAGCTCGTCGCCTCCGCCTCCTTAGGGAGCCGGCGGGAGCAAGGCGCCCAGGGGACCCCGGTGGTTTTATTAGTTTGATGCGTGCGGGCTTGGACTGCGTCTGGCCAGAGATGACCAGACTCCTCCCGATCCTTCCGTTCCTGGTGGAGTGGAGAGCGCTCCGCTGTCATTCTGTGTCAGACCCTGGCTGCCTGTACCGCTGCCCCAAATTTTAACGTAAAGGCACATTAGGGAACGAGAAGTCTTCCCGAACATCCCTCCCTGAACCCCACCTCCAGATCTTCGCCTGCGCCCCCGCACCCCCAGCTTGTGGCACTGGCCCTTCTTCCGTGCTGAGAGGTGTCCCCTCTCCCGTGCGGGCCGGGAGGGGCAGGCACCCCGCGCCGCTCCAGGAGAAAGCCTGCCCCTGCCAGCAAGCCCGTCGCCGGGTAGGTCCAGTTCCCAAGAGCGGGTCAGCTGGAGTCCTGTTTCACTGTGGCCTTTCTCACGGCCTCCTCGCTCTTAGCCGCTGAGCAGGGGCTTTTGCTGCAGCGATGGCCAAGGCCACACCCACCCACTCGGCGGGTTGCCTTTCCCCAGCTTCTTGCTGGTCTTTCTGCCCCAGGGCGCAGCTGGAGCCCCTGTCTGAGCTGTAAGTTAGGTGGTCTTTAGATGGCCTTCCCCCTTCTCCCTTCCGGTGTTACCAGACCAGCTCTCTTTGCACATTCAGCCGCTGCAGGGAAGCAAGCTGATGCTAATTTCGTTGTGTCACCAATTCCCACCTGCTAGCAGAAAGAGACTGCCTGTCCATCTCTCTGGAGGAGGTGAATGATCATGAGCCAGAATGCATCTTAATTCCACGTTTTTTTTTAAAGTGGTGAAGTAAATGCCACCCTGTGGTCTTTTGAGGAAACATGCATTGGTGCCAGGTGGGAGGGGCTGCACCAAGTTGCATGAAGGAATCACCTTGGGGGAGACCTGCCCCAGGGCACAGCAGCTGCCTGCCCTTGCACCTGTGCATGCCCTCCTGGGTCTCGCCTCACTAGGAACCTTTCCCACCCTTAGCTCCGCTCCACTGGCAGCATCTGGCCAAAGGACACCGTTCCTTCCCCTGACCCCTGCACCTGCCCTGGGGATCCGGCTTTTCTGCCTTCACATTTCCCTTTGTTAGATCAGGGTCCTATGGGATTTCTTTTTTTGTTGTTTTTTAGGAGACAGGGCCTCTGTCTTCTAGGCTGGAGTGCAGTGGCACGATCCTAGCTCACTGCAGCCTCCAAGTCCTGGTCTCAAGTTATCCTCCTGCCACAGCTCCCCAGCAGCTGAGACTACAGGCACATGCCACCACACTCAGCTACTTTTTCTATTTTTGTAGAGATGGAGTCTCTCTGTGTTGCCTAGGCTAGTCTTGAATCCCTGGGCTCAAGCCATCCTCCTTCCTTAGCCTCCTAAATTGCTGGAGTTACAGGCATGAGCCGCTGTGCCCAGCCCTGTGGGATTTTTCTATGAGCCATAGGTGTACAAATTTCTGAATTTTCAGTGACATAATCCAGGCACTTTTTCCATTTTGCTTTGGTTGCTATTGTACAGTTTGCTGGGTGCCCAGGCACCTGCTGCTCTCCACACAGAATGGCGGACTCCTGATCCTGGGTAGTGTTTCTCATCTGTAAGCCAGGGACACCTACTTATCTCTCCGGGTTGCTGGGGGGTAACATGTGATTCCATAAAGCCCACAGTCGGGCGTGCTGGAAGCTCTCTGGAGATGGTGAGTCCTTCTTGCTCCTTGCTCTTCTGCAGAGCTAAGCACTGGCCCCATCTCTGGATGCAGAGCACTGGCCCTCGGGATCGCTCAGAAGCACTTTTGATCCTCTGCTCCTCTGTGCATCTGCAGTGGGGTCCTGCATAGCAAAGCAGCCCAGGCAAACCTTGCAGGTATTTTTTTGCCACTCTCCCCCTCAGGAGTAGTTTGAATGGCCCCAGCTCTTAGAAATCTGCACCCTCTCCGGCTGGGATAGCCACTTCTCCAATGCCCCCGGCTTATCTGAAGCCCTTGTGACAACTGAATATGCATGACTGGTTCTGCCCTTGATGAAATGCAGCTTCTTTCAATTCATGCGTTGGACCAGCTCAGGCACTGAGGATGTGATGATGAATAGATCAGTCACGATGTCATAGACCATTGAGGAAAATTGATGATAACTTTGTTTGAATTTGGGAAGTGAGTGCATGATGGCAGCAGGAACAGAGTGTTTTAGCAGCAATTAATTCTTCCTTGGGTGGGGCGGTGGGAGGGGCGTTCAGAGAAAGCCTCCCAGAAGGAGCAGTGTTAGGTTAGATCATGCTGAGAAAATCTATTCTGTGGCCCAAGCACTTGCCTTCCCTGTCGTACAGATGTTTTTCCTCTTGACAATACGAAATGAAAAACACAGCTTGTAGAAGTTGGAGAGTAGAAGAATAGAGAAGTGGAGTTGTGATACATTAAATTATTATTCCCAATTATTCACTGTCCTCCCTGAAAAGAGGATTGCACACCCCCACCTGATGCCATATGGCTTGCCCACCTCTTGTGGGAGGAGAATACTTCTCCTGCCCACTGGTGCCAGGCTTGGCCGTGTGACTTGCTTTGGTCAACTGCGTGTGAGTAGAAATGACATATGCCATGCCAAGCAGACACTGCATTGAGAGGTTCTACCACTGTCCTCGTCCCTCTCTCCTGAGAACGGCCCGTCTCAGGTGGGGGCTGCTCTTCAACCTGGTTGAAGGCATGAATACTCTCCTCGTATAAAGTGGGGATCAGGGACACTGTCTATAGTTAATAGACTAAGAAATAAAGGGTGCCGAAGTGACCAGTAGATACACTGAAATAGCGACGACGCTGGGATGAAGGGCACTAGCGAGATGCTGGGACAACGCTGGAGGAAGAGGAGAAGTGGGCTGAGAGGGGACAGAACCAAGCTGGCTTTACGTCTCATAGCAGAAAGTCGACAAATGATGTCAAAAGTTGGTAAAATATGAAAAAGCAGTATAAGCATACTCTTTGGAGACTGGAGGAACATTGGAATTCCACTCTTTCTGGCATTATCAATTTTCCCTTGTCTACGGGCTCCTTCCCAGCAGCACGCATCCATGCTGAAATTGTCTCTCGTCTTTTAAAAATAGTCTCTCCGATCCTGTATCTCCTCTGCTATTGTCCTTTTCTTTGCTCCCCTTTACAGCTAAATTCCTTGAGAGAGTTGTCTGTATTTGTTGTCTCCAATCCCTCCTCTCTCATTGTCTTGTGAACTCACTTTAATCATGTTTTTGCCTCCCTCTCTCACCTAAGCTGCGACCTCCTCCCGGTGGCGAATCCCTGGCCCTGGCGGGTCTGTCTCCCTCCTCCTGGGCCTCTGGCAGCGGGCACAGCCGCGCGGCTCCCTCCGCCTCCTGGCGCGCTTCGCTTGGCACTGGCCCCGCACTCTCTCCTGGCCTTCTCTTAACCTCACGGCTCCTTCTCTGTTTCCTTCGCTCCTTTCGGCAACCTTTGAACTTGGGAGTTCCCCAGGGCGCTCGATCTTCCCCTTTCTGCCTATGGTCACTCCTTGATGGCCTTGCCCGGTCTCTGGGCTTTACATTACATCCTTATGATAATGAATTCCAACGCCAGGTTCCCGGTTCAGACCTTTGCCCTGAACGCCTGAGTCTTACCTGCTTCTGCCTTCTCAGTATCTCCGCTTGGAAACCAAACGGCATCCCAGACTAGCTTATCTCAAACCAAACTGCTGTCTTCCCCAAACCTTCCCCTCCTCCATCTTTCCCCATTTCAGCATCTGGCATCTTTCCAGTTGCTCAGGCCAAAAACTGGGACTCATCCCTGACTCCTCTTCTGCTCACGCCCCACGCCCCGTCTGTCAGGAAGTGCTCTCGGCTCTGCTTTCGGAATCTGTGCAGAATCCGACCACTTCCTACCACGCGCCGCTCCAAGCCTCCGTCTCCTGAGTTGTTGCAGCCGCATCTTAAATGGTCTGCTTGCCTTTGCCGATGTCCTGTGCAGTCTGTCCTCAGCACGGCAACCAGAGTGATCCCTCCAAAACACAAGCGAGTCAGATCGTGTCACTTCTGAGCTCAGAACCCTCGAGTGGCTCCTATGTCACTCGCGGTAAAAGCTCAAGCCCTTATTAGGACCTGTAAGGCCCTAAGCCAGAACTTTGCCGTAGAAATATGATATGAGTCACATATGGGATTTAACATGTTCTAGCATATAACTATCTTATTATAAAAAGTAAAAGAGAATAGGTGAAATAAACCTTAATAATCTTAATAATATATTTCATTTAACCCGATATTTAAAGTATTATCATTTCAACATATAATCAACATAAAAATTATTAATGAGATATTTTATATTTCTTTACTTGTGTACTAAGTTTTCAAAATCTGGTGTGTATTTTATACTTACAGCACATTTCAGTTTGGACATTTCAAGTTGATGTGTGCATAGCATCGATGTTTCTTCTGAGACATG